TTGAATTCATTTGTTCCCTCTTCCTAAGATTCCCTCAGGTAGATATAAATAGAATCAGGAGATAAGGAGGTTTTGGAGTGAAAATTTCATGGGGGTTATGAGGTTGAGGGAGGGTTAGAAAAAGAGAAATGGCAGGTGGGAGTTGCAGCACGGAGCAGAAGAAAAGCAGAAATGACTGCCATGAAAGTACAATGGGTGAAGAAAGGATTTTTTTAAGATTTAATTTTATTTATGCATACAAGAACTGGGGTGTAGGCCAGAGTTGCGGGGAGGTGAAAGGATTCACAAGAGACGGAGTGGGGGAGCACAACAGGCAGATCTACTGAAATGCACTGCTAAGGGGAGCAGTAGGGGAGACAGGAAAGCTCTGCTGCGCCATGTGGGTTAGATCCCTGGTAGGGGATTGAACTCATTGCCTTGACTGGTGACAGCTTGATAGCACTGTGTCTTTAACCTGTGCACCACCACAGAGGCCCTAATGCCATCAATTTTTAATTTAAATTTTCTCCTTGCCTAATTGAGCTTTGTTGCTGCCAATTTCAGTAGAAAATAAGTCAGAGGATCGTCTAATGTGATCCAGCACTATACCACGATAAGCAATTACAACAGGAGATCTAGCAAGAAGAGTGAGGCTTTCTGATACCAGGCCAGTTCTATATCATTGTTAAACCTGTCTGTCCCTCCATCCAAGAAACTATTCTCTTACATACATGGTCTTTCCAGTCTATTCAATGAAGTCCTGGGCACTGAAAATTTAGTGAAGCCCTCTCCCCAGAGAAATACAGTTCAAAGACTTTAAAAAAAATGAAACTGAGAAACAAATTGAGTATTAAGGAATAACAAAAAGGGATTTTTTCCTGTCATATGTATTTGATTTTTGAAAACACTATTAATAATAGACATCTACCTAAAGATGTGGACCTGGAAGAAATTATGATGAGTAAAATAAATCTGAAGGAGAAAGACAAATGTAGGATGGTGTCACTTATGAGTGGGATATAGAGACTAACCAAGGGAGTAAAAAAAGCCAAACTTAAAAATTAACCATGGAAAATTAATTAGAGAACTGAGGAGTCCAGAGGGAGAGGAATGAGAAGGGTGAGCACAAGGTGGGAGGGTGCACAGTGGACTATGGTGGTGAACCAAAGGTGCGTTGGTGGTGTGTACACTATGGCAATAACACTTTCAGGAGGGTATACGCCCCAAAATACAAACAACGGAGCAAACCAATATTGCCTCAATTTTAAAAAAGTCTTTCAACATAGATTCTTGATTTGTCATCTAGCTCAGCAGCTACTCTCCCTACGAATATGCAATTTTTGATAACTAAAGATGGTGAAATGTTCATCACAAAACTCTCCACCATTCTCTTGTCAGTGAAAGTTTGTGGTGATGATTAAAAACATGCATTTGAGTTTTGGGGACTGAAATACTTTCCTTGGTGAGGAATTCAAAATCTAGAGACTCCAAGGCAGGATTTTGTTGAATGCCATCAAATGTATCTTCAGAAAAGTAATCCAAACTTTTAGACTCTCATTCTAGTATTCTTTCAACCACATCCAACATTTCAATACAATCCATATTTTTTTTTTCCAGGGCAAAAGTATAATAAAAACCTCCTGAGGCCTTCTTTTGATGCTTTCCCTAATTGAGAGGAGAAAATATTAATCACTCAAGTATTTATTGAATCCCTACTCATACTGAGAATTATATGAGGTGCCAAGAGATTAAATAAATAAATAAAGCATAGTTTCTGCCAGTTCTGAATTTAATGCATTATTGCTATTGATTATAGAAAACCTGCAGCTCTTTAGAGGCTAGAAATAATTACGCTAGTGGTCATTAATTATACTAATCATAATACAAGTTCTTGCTTGTCTAGCACCTTAGAGTTTATAAAAATATTTTCATTTAGCCTCAGAACCCTATGTAAAATGCTATTTCTTTCACTTAAGTTTTGAAGAAACTAAGGTTCCAATTGTCTAACAGTAGTAGAACATTTTTGGGTGACAAAGGGAAGCAGACTAATCATCCTTATTTGTACAACAAAGCCAATATGAGAGAAAGTGCTTAAAAATGAGAATTCTTGTAGTAAGTTAAGCAGGGAAAATCTTACAGTAACTTACTATGGAAAAGTTATAATAAACAAGAAGGTTGAACATCAGCAAATAATGCAATATTAAAATGACCAGCCAAAATGTTAAATATTAAGTGAATAGCCCAAAGAAAAAACCCTCACTTAAGTTTTAACAGCTTTGGAGACAATTGATGCACTGACACGCAGACATCCAGGAAGCCATCAACAAGATCTAGAGAATGCATGTAACTATTCTCCCCCAACATTATCCCTTTGTAGTCTCCCCCTTCTATCTCTTCTCACCCCATCTCCCTTTTTCTGGACAACATCTGATGTGTGTTCTGTCACTATAGATTACCCTTCTTAGAATAGTGTAGAAATGCAACAACTCACTGTATATTCTCTTTTTCTTCTGGTTTCTTTTTCTCAACATAACCCTTTTGAGATTTATGCATATAGCAGTATCACAATTGCATGCCTTCCCACAGAACCTCAAAGGGTGGCTATAACTCCATATGTTTATCCATTCACCTGCTGATGAACTTTCAGGTTATTGCCAAATTTTCAGTATTTCAAATGAATAAATAAAGCTCTTGTGAAAATTAGTGTACAAGTTTTTATATGAGCATGTGGTTTCATTTCTCTTGGGTAAATATCTAGGCATGAAATATCTGGGCTAACTTTTAAGACACTGCCAAACTATAATATTTACGATAGGGATTGTACCATTTTACTTTTCTACCAGTATTACATGTGAATTAGAACTAAAATTCCTCTGTATCTTCACCAACGCTTGGCAAGATCCTTTTCTTTTTTCAAATTTTGGTGATTATAATGGATTATAACCAGTGTCTCCTGATTTTATCATATATTTTTCTAAGAACTAGTGACATGAGCATCTTTTGCTTATTTGCCATTCTTTGGTGAAGCACATGTTTAAAAAAATTTTGTTTTATTACTGATATATCAATTCTTTTTTTTAAAGATTTATTTATTTATGCATACAAGAGCTGGGGTACAGGCCAGAGATGTGGGGGGGTGAGAGGATTCACCAGAGACAGAGTGGGGAATAGAACAGGCAGACTGACCAAAGTATACTGCTGAGGGGAACAGCAGGCGAGTGGAGAGGTCTGCTGCGCCATGTGGGTTGCTCCCTGGCTGGCAGGGGGATCGAACTCATGCTGCAGAGGCTGCAGACAGCTTCATAGGTTGCGTCCCAACCCCTTGCACCACAAGGGAGGCCCAGATATATCAATTATTTATATATTTGAGACGCAAGCTATTTACCAGATATATTATTTGCAAATACTTTTCCTAGTTTCTGCCTTGTCTTTCATTTTATTAGCAGTATCTTTCAGAGAGCCTAAGTTTTTGATTTTGAGGTAGCTCAATTTATCAATTTGTTCTTTTATAGATCATGACTTTGGTGTCATACCTAACAAATGTTTGACTACTCCAAGGTTACAAAGGTTTTCCCACATGTTTTCTTCTAGCTGTTTTATATTTTTAGACTTTACACTTAGTTCTATAGCCCATTGTGAGTTAATTTTTGTATCTGGTGCAGAAGTGGTCAATTTAATATCAGAAAAATTTTCTGATTCAACTGTGAAATGGTCTGCCAATAAAAGTTGTAAATATGGTTTTGCTGGAGTGATTTTCAATATAATTGGAGGAAACACTGAGAAACTGACTAAGGAAATAGCACTGTATGTGCAGAAGATGGTACCAACTGAATGTGCTTCCAATTATTATGCCACTAACCTATTTTCTGATTGTTTGCTTTTCTGAAAAACATTTTAATTATATCAAGAAAGGTAAACCCCCTAAAATTCACAAGTTGATGAAGTTCACATATTAAGGCTACTGTATAACATTTTTATACATGTTCCAACTGCTACATATTCATTCCCTTGAAGTATAAGAAGGGCAAGTCTCTCCCCAATCCACTAGAAAATTCAGAATATCTCTTTTAAGTAGTCTGTCCCTTCTATTTTTGTGACACTTTATTTGATGTCTGCAGTGATATTTTAGAGTTTTGTTTGAATTCATTTACTCCATTTTTCAAGGAGAAGATTCTCTGGAGTACTAGCCTTTATACTGGGTTTTAGCTGGGAGATAGCATCTTTTCAAAAACTGATAACTTACTGTCATATCCATTGTTCCACAGAGATTTCTTCTTTGTAGTTTAATCTTTATAATTAAACGTTTAACTAGGTGAAAGATAGGCTACCAAAGTTCTATTTAGAATAATGACTAATGTCATCTTAATTCAAAATTGGGGTTATGACCCCTAGGAAGTAAAGGCGGGGGTTGGGAAATATGGAAATCTTGAAAAGTTTCTCAGAAACCCAAGTTTTGTAGATCATTTAACTAGTTTTCATGTAATGATCAGGGTTATGTACACTCAGGAAAAAGATAACCTGTCTAGGGTATTCTAGAGATAACCATCTCTAGGGTATTCCTCTGCTCTTTGTCATTCTCTGCCTTGAATATATACTTTAAGATGCACAGACAGGTCTTAGAATTCAGACATGCTGTCTTATTTTGATTAATATTATACCTACAAAATGAACTTTGATTATTTTTTTTATTTCAGAATCATGACATGTAATGAAATATATGTTAGAGGACACTCCAAGGGAAAAATATTGAGTTAAAGTTGTATATATAAAAATTATTTATGTACATCCAGGATGCTCAAACAAGTACCAAGTAATTATTTGTTCAATTGAATTCATTTACCAAATTAAATTGTATTTAATTTTGATGGAGATTTTGCTATTAGGCACAGTGCTCTCTTGCTCAATATACCCCTGTTCTTCCCTTAATAATTGGGAAGTCCTGGGTTGTCACATGCAAAAGGATAATACTAGACCAATATTTCACATCATATGCAAAAATTAATTCAAAATGGATCAAATAATTGAATGTAAGACCTGACATCATAAAATAGAAGAAAATATAAGCAAAACACTCCACAGCATTGGCTCCAGGGATGTCATCGGAGACTTGTCTATGCAGAAGGAGAAACAAAAGCAAAAATAAACAAATGGGAATACATCAAATTAAAAGGCTCCTGCACAGTGAAAGAAACTATCATTAAATAAAATGACATGTATTGAATGGGTGAAAGTTTTTACACATGATACATCTGACAAGTGTTAATATCTAAGATCTAAAAAAGAAGTCATACAACTCAATGAAAGGAAAAGAAATAACCCAATTAAAAAATGGGCAGAGGAGCTAACTAGACACTTCTTCAAAGAAGACATATAGATTGGTCACATATGAAAAATGCTCATCATCACTTATCTTATGAAAATGCAAATCAAAACCACAATGAGATATCACCTCACATCCATGAGAATAGCACATATCAAAAAGACCAGAAATAACAAGTGCTGGAAAGGATGTGGAGGAAAAGGAACCATTGTATGCCATTGATAGAAATGTTGATTAGTCCAGCCCCAAGGCTATAGTTATTAGACGTAAATTTAACATACTATCTTTAGTCTATTTTGGGTGTTAAAAGAAGGCATTATTCTTAATTAATTAAGAAAGTTTAAGCCTACTAGAATTTGAAGGAAACAATTTGAAGGAACTAAGGATTCATAACTTAAGTATTGAGGTTTCTCAAAACACTAAAAGTAGATATACCATATGCTCCAGTAATTACTCTCCTACATAGCTACCTGAAGAATGCAAAAACAATAATTTAAAGAGATATATACATGCCTATGTTTATTGCAGCACTATTTACAATATTAAGCAATGGAAATAACCCAAGTGCCCAAGGATAGATGAGTGGATTAGAAAGATGTGGTATAAATACACAGTGGAATACTATTAAGCTATAAAATCTTAGTAGTATCAAAAAGACCACATATCATTGCTATATCATTGATATATCATTTGATATATGAAATCTTGCCATTTGTGATAACATGGATAAAATTGAAGTGGATTATGCGAAGTGAAATAAGTTACACAGATAAAGACAAATATCAGATGATTTCACTCATGTGGAATATAAAAAATAAAGCAAACAGATAAAAACAAACCCTTGGAATCTGAGAGGAGAATTTAGGCTACTACAAGAGGAGGGTGCAATGGTGGTGGAGTGGGGGGAGGCATGTCCTGTAAGTCGTATGGCTTTTGGTCTCTGTCATTCTCTCTCTTCTTTTCTATTTTCCTACCTACCTCCAGTTCTTGACTTCTCATACATTGCTCAGATTCTCCAAAACAATAGCATTCTGACCAAAACAGATTCATCTCAGAGGTTAAGAGCAGAGATTAAGCTGGAATGACAGCATTTTCTTTACACCAGGGAAAAGTATGAGAGTTTGCCAATATTAAGAAATTTCATTCCATCACAAGCACTAAAGATTATTTTATTAGAATAGAATTCCAGAAGCTGACTTTCTGAGTTGAGATATGAGCTGCTTAAATCTTGATCTAGATAGAGATGTTAAAAGCACAGCTACTAACATCTGACACACATGAGATCAAATCCCACTTCTGTCACCTACTAGCTGTTTGACTTTCAGACAACTAGTTAACCCCACCAAGTCTTATTTTTCTTATATGTAAAGTATAAAAATTATCACATTAGCTAATAGGCTGTTTCAAGGATTACATATGACAATAAAGGTAATGCTTAGTAAATTTCCTGGCACTTGGTCATAGTCTTGTTGTTACTGCTAAATTACTTCTGGAAGGTTATTCTAGATTGATACTCCCATAAGTAATGTCACAGAGTTGTGACTCTAGTTATTAGATGTAAATGTAATATACCATCTTCATGTCTATGTTGGGTGTTAAAGCATTATTTTTAATTAAATTAAGAAAGTCTTAAGCCTACCAGAATTTGAAGGAAAAAAATTTGAAGAACTAATGATTCATAACTTGAGATTTACTGAAGTCCATTCATGTTTTATATAAAATTAAGTGAATATGGATGGATAATAACCTAGATGCTATAATATCTTTTTAGTATTTTTTGCCCTCTTTTTCATCAGAAAGCTCTTCACAGTTTTTACCAATAGTTAAGAACTTAGTCTAAATGGATTCTGTGTGGCTATCAGCATGTGACAAGCTTTCTGTTTTTCCTAACTGAATAATTGCCAATTCTATTGGTTCCGTCATTCTTTCCCTATAGCTTTTAACTTCTAACTATTCAGTTATTATTGTTGACAAAAGTGATCAAACTGGAAGTCTTATTTTCAAACTTTCTGTACCCTTATGTGATGGTCAGAAAGGAAATCAAATTCCTACTGCCTCAGTTTACATTTATTAAATAAGGACATACTAAGTACTACTAATGGGTGTCAGACACCTTAGTCTTGTGATCTATGAAAATAAACTGTCAAACTCTTGCTGAAGTGTTCCATAAACTGTAAAACATATTCGATCTTCTACATATTATTGGTGAAATCAGAACAGCTTCAAAATCACAAATGGCAATTTATTTCAGGAATGGCAAGTGAGCCTTCTACTGCATACATTAAAGTCTGTTATTCAGGAGAAACATAAAGTAAATCTTGTGAGCTGAGTCGATTTTTGTCTTACCACACAAAAAGGCAGCTGGATAAAGAAGATGACCTTTGTTAAAAGGAAAAAAATCTTCAATACCTGGTGTTCACTATCAGTGGGTGTTCTGGTGTTAGCTCTTAAAAGAAGCAGGAATCCTATTGTCATTTCTTCTAGCTTTAATGATGAAATTTACTTTCAAGTTTGTGTTTAGTCTCAGGCTATAAAAGTTCCGTACCTCCCCAGCACTTGATTCTGGGTCATTTCTTGGGGACCCTAACCATACTCCGAGACAAAATAAGCAGCTACAGATTAAAAAAAAAAAGCCTCAAGCTTCAGTACTGAGTGCCGAAACTGGTACAAGAGCAAGGCTGTTAATAGCAACCAAATTGATTTTGAACTTCAGGAGATATGCCTTCCTCCAGACTCTCAAGGCTTGGTTCTGACTTAGATGAAAGCTCTTTCTATTTAAATAAACAGAGAGTGTACTGTAGGAGAGGTGGAGAGAGAGAAATAAATTATGAATTACGAAAGCACAACCATGCATGCAAAATCACTCAAGGGCTTTGAGGGAAGAGTATAATTTACCAACCTTTTCCTAGATGTGAAGTCCATATCATTCTTCAGAAATTTAGCAGGAAATTAGAGTTGGGTTGACCCAGCTTATTAGTAGTTGAAGGCAAACAAATGCCCTAAGTATGAGAAAACATTCATGACTGTAGATGACCACATTTTAGGTGGGAGAATGAAATGTTTGGTTTATAAACTTTTGTTGACTAAGGATATAAATGTCTTAAGGCCCTCAGAATATATGACCAAAAGATCTTTCATTAGATTTTTAGGATATTACTTATGGCTTCTCATCAGGCAAACATTGGTGAACACTGGTGTACTGTGTCCTTTTCCAGGCCCTCTTTGTTCTTTGGCAAATTGCGATTTTAAAAATCAAGTCCACCATCTTGTTTCCAGAATGTTCATTCATTCTTTCATCATTCATTTAAGCAATTCTGCATTTAAATGAAGGATGTTTCATCTTTAAAGATACATCATCCAAAGCAGTGATAGTGAAGCAAAGCAAAACAGCTGGGACTACATCAAATTAAAGAGCTTCTTTTTTTTTTTTTTTTTTTAATAGAGGCATGTTTTATTTATTTATTTATTTATTTGTTTGCTTGTTCGTTTATACATGCACTGGGTACAGTCAGAAGCGCTGGAGGGTGAGAGAATTCACCAGAGCCAGAGCAGGGAACAGAACAGGCAGAGGGACCGAAGTGCACTGCTGAGGGGAGCCGCGGGCGGCAGGAGAGGTCTGCGCGCCATGTGGGACCCTCCTCTGGTGGCCGGGGAGCAGCCGGTGATCGAACCGGCGCCGCAGAGGCCGCGGGCAGCTTCGCAACCCAGCGCTCAACCGCTGCGCCACCGGGGAGGCCCAAATTAAAGAGCTTCTGTACAGCAAAAGAGACAATAACCAAAACAAAGAGACACCCCATGGATTGGAAGAAAAAAAATTTTTTAAAGATTTATTTATTTGTACAAGAACTGGGGTACAGGCCAGATAAGCGGGAGGGTGAGAGGATTCACCAGAGACAGAGCAGGGAGCAGAACAGGCAGACAGATGAAATACACTGCTGAGGGGAGCAGCGGGTGTAACAGGAGAGTGCCACGTTATGTGGGACCCTTGCCTGCCAACCAGGATCGAACCACTGCTGCAGTGGCTGCAGTCAGCTTCACAGCGTTGCGCTTAACCACCTGTGCCACCAGGAGAGGCCCATGGGAGAAAATTTTTGCACACAACACTAATGATAAAGGACTGATCACAAAAATCTACAAAAAGCTGATGAGACTCAACAAAAACAAAGGAAATAATCCAATCAAAAAATGGGCAGAAGAACTAAAAAGAAACTTCTCCCAAGAGGAAATGCAAACAGCCAACAGATATATGAAAAAAAAAAGTTCAGCATAACTTGTAATCAGGGAAATGCAAATCAAAACTACAATGAGATACCATCTTACACCAGTGAGAATGGCACATATTAAAAAAACAAACTAGCAACAGCAAATGTTGGCAAGGATGTGGATAAAAAGGAACTCTCTTCAGCTGCAGGTGGGAGTGCAAACTGGTCCAGCCACTATGGAAAATTGTGGAGATTCCTCAATCTACTAAAGATGGAGCTTCCATATGATCCAGCAATTCCACTCCTTGGTATTTACCCAAAGGACACAGAAACATTAATTCAAAAGGGCACCTGCACCCCTATGTTTATAGCAGCACTATTTACAATAGCTAAGCTATGGAAACAACTCAAATGCCCAAAAATAGATGACTGGATCAAGAAGATGTGGTACATATACACAATGGAATATTACTCAGCAATCAAAAAGATAAACTCATGCCATTTGCAGCAACATGGATGGAGCTGGAAGGGATCATGCTCAGTGAAATAAGCCAGAAAGAAAAAGACAATTACCAGATGGTCTCACTCATAGCAGGAATTTAGAAAACCTAAATAAGGGACCAGGAAAAAGACTAACTATAATAAAGTAAAAATCAAAATCAACAAGTAACTATAAACCAGAGACACAGCAGGAGGGTGGGAGGAGGGAGTAGGATCAAAATAAGGCAAGTGGGAATTGTGTGGGGACTATAATCAAGATGAAATGCATACATTGTGCAAAAATGGAAATGATGTAAAAATATATAAAATTAAATATTTTTTAAAAAAAAATTAAAAAAATAAATGAAGGATGTTTCATTCATCTAATTTAAGTAATACTTTATAAATGCTTGATTAAAGATCAAGGACCAGAGATACAAAGATAAAACAAAAGCCCCACCTTCAGGAGTTTCTAGTCTGTTGAATGAAAGGCCAAGTTTTCTAGTTCATTTACATAGGAGGTCTCCCAAAAGATCAGCATTGCTTCCAGTTCATCTTCCAACCAAATAGATCAGGGCTTAACACTCAGACTACTTTCTATACCATCTGAACAACTTTTGCCTAGGAGTGCACTCATCTGGCTTAGAAGGTAATAAGCAGAGAGGACAGAGGTCTTTCTCAATGGTCCTGTCCACATCTAATGTCCCTACCTTTGACTTCTAGAGTTTGGATGTTTGTGCTACTAGTCAGAAGAAGTTAGAAATGAGAAATGGCCTCTCTTTAGGAAATGACTTAGAGTCTCTGCTCTAGATATACCTTGTTTTCCCCTTTCACACTCTTTTTCATTTTCCTTTGAACATTGGTAAATGAGCTATATATAGTATGAAGAAACCATAATCATTAAATCTCAAACAATAGAAACAATTTAAAGTTAGTAGGTGAAGTCAGATAAAGGGAGATCATTAAAATCCTAACAACTGTAATTTATATAAGAAGTGAAAAACACTTTTTGAATCAAGCAGTAGAATAATTCTTAGTTGTAGAGATAATGATAATTGGGTATTAATGACAGAATACAACTTCTTGTCTCAAACTAGAAATGGCATTAAGCATTGTTTCCATTGTAATTTCAATATTTGGTGATGGTGAGAAAAAATAAGACTTTTAATGCTCTAGGAGTTGTGTAACTTAACAGTTAGGAAAATCTTTTTGGCATTTAGTTAAACTTCAACATGAGCATAACTTTCCTAGAACAAGCTGGAACAAGCAATTTGTACAAACATGACAGTGAAAAGGTTATTTATCAGATTTTGGATTATGGTAGCAAAATGTATTGTTTTAAATTATAAAAAGTAATGAAAATACATGCATATTGCAAAGAATTAAAGTATTTAGAATAAAAATAAAATACTCCATCCATTTTCTTTTAAATTACCTTCTTTCTTCGCACCCCCATTTTTCACTTTCCTTACTAAAAGGAAACGGCTATTAACAGTGTAAGCTATACCTTTTTAATAGAATATATATACACATATACACACTTATATGTATATGCATATATGTGTTCAGACACACAGACATATAAATATCTTTTTCCTAAATGAGATTATATCATTTTGCAATATAATTTTTCACTTATTAGTATGTCTAAAAGATTGCTACATGTCATACCACAATCTACTTAATCATTATATGTGTGGTTTGTTATTTTTCACTATTATGAACTCTGCTAAAATGAACACGATTGCATGTTTATGTGCAAGTACATATATATGTATTTTTGTAAGATAAGTTTTAAAGTAGAATGTTTAGATTAAAAGCTACAACCATAAATCTATACAGAATGCAATACCAATTTAAGTACAATGTATCTATATGCCTGTCTCTATCTTCATCAATACAAGATAGTATAACTTGTTCAACTTCTGACACTGTGTGTAATGTAATGTTACATTACATTATAAATATTATATACACACTTTCTCACGTGCTCTTTTCCCACCTTTTTATCAGCACTCGCAAGTTTATTGAGGAAAAGAGAAAAAGGAAGAGATTCCTGCATAGACGCGGATGGGCAGTCTTAAAGGACAAGATCTGCTTTGTGAAAGGGTCAGGTTTAAGAAAGAGACACCTGCACAGAAACAGATGGGCAGAAAGCTGATTTTCCCAACTTTTCTTTTTACTATTGATTGTGAATTTTAACCCTTTGTGAATCACATAGTTCTATCATGTATTCCTGCTCTATCATTTGAAGTATGGTATTATGGCATACAAAAGTTTTACATTTGAATATAACAAATCTGTGACTAGTTTTATCCCCTCTGGATTTGGGTATTACCTTAGAAAGCTTTCATCATACCATAGTTATATATACAATATATTTATGTTATATAATTTATACTATATATTATATAAACATATTATATATTTATATATTATTGTATATATTGTATATATATATATAAAACTATGGTATGATGAAGGCTTTCTATATATAGCTATATATCTTCTGCAAATTCTTCTAATATTTTCATTATTATTTCACAATTTTTATTTAACACATTTGTAGTATATTTTCATGTATTTTATCATGTAGAAATTGAACTGAACCTTTTATATAAATTTCCAGTTTCCAAACACTATTTATTGTTTAAGTCTCCTGATTCTTAATGCCGTCATTTCTAACTGTCCATAAATGTCTATCTCCTTCTGACTTCTCTGGGCTAGCAAATGCAATAGATAAGTGCTTATCTCTTTGTTCAAACTATGCTACCTAAGTTTTCATATTTACAAATTTTGCATTGGCACATAATAGAGCAAATTCCTGGTATTGATTATTTTCCCCCTTTTCTTAAAAGTTCCTTGGTTATTCTTGTACATTATTCTTTATGAATTTTAGGCTGATTTTTAGGTACTACAACACATTCTACACATGTTGCATTTCTTACCAACTATTGTTTATGATGTTCAAATAAACAATATTAGTTCTTACCCAACATTAATAATATTTTTAAAAGATTATTCATACATTAAAAAAAAATTTTAAATGTAGTTGTAGAAAATAATGACTCCTACAAACTCTTCGTGAACAATTTCCTAATAAGGTCAAGAAAAACATTTATCACTTTACTCAAGATTACTTGAAATACTAGAAATGTTTTTAATGGTAAGTAGAAGTGATTTTTGAAACCACATCAAAATCATTTCCAAATATTTCCTCTACAGGGCCTCCCCTGGTGGTGCAGCGGTTGAGCACTGGGCTGCAAAGCTACCCTCAATGATCCCTGGCTGCCGGTAAGGGTCCCACATTGTGCGAC